CATGACATTCTCTTCACCCATCACTAATATGCTCATATGTGAAAGGCCCTCCAGTTTCACAATTCGACCTTCTATTCAAGGGCAAGTTCAAAATCCATCTCCTATTCATTTTTTGGTAAAATTTTCCCTGCTTAACTCCTATATGCTGATGTCTGATGGGTTTGTCTTCCTAATATGAGAATAATTTCAGCCTGTTTTCCTCAGGACACCTTTCCTAATCACTGAAATAAGACAGACTAAATCGAACCCTTGTCTATCATCTCTGGCCTTTCCATTACAAACAATGCTGGACTTGGTGTTTTGTTGGTATCACAGTCCTTTCGGGATGCTCAGTGATGCCACTTCATGACCTTAGGGGAGTTGTGGCGAACCTACAGCACACATGCTGCAGTGAGATGTTTGTATTATTGAAGGCTCTAAAAGGTTCACCATCACTGTCTTAGGGAGACACTAAAATTAGGGGGGGACAAGAGAATGGGTAGTAAGAAAAACTAGTTCGCATTTCAATGAAAATAAGCAATGAGAATGGTTAGTCAAAAAGCATAAACAAAAGAGAATCACCAGGGAACAGACTAGCTGAAAAGTGGGTACAAAGCATTCCAGACTCTACCCATCTCTGGAACAAATGCTAAGGTAGAGAGTCTTTCCTGACACCCTGAAAGCGTTCAGACATTCAGAGATGTCTCTGTTTTTGAAGGGATAGAAATTAGGCCAGTTATGGCCTGGGACTGAATACTACTTTACCTCCATAAGAATTGGCAAAACCAAACCAAACAAAACAAAATCTTGTGACATGCATTCAGTAACAAATGCTGTGTGTGAGTGGCACTTAGCGGCTAGGTGGCTGTCTGTGATTGAGGGGAGCTGCCTTGATCATTTCTGTGTGGCTGCACAGACACATCTACAACACCGCTGCAAAGACCCCGACATTCTCTTCACTTCTCATGCAAGGGACCTGAACTTAGGCTCTACTTCCTAATATAGCTAAGTATACCCACAGTGCTCCCTGCATAGGGCATAAAATGAGAGGCACAGTCACAAATGTGAGCAATAATTTTTCATGTAGTGGTTGGTAATACTAGTCACTAAGCTAGAAAAGTCTCATATAAATTACATTAAAGTTTTCTAAGAGGCTCCTAGATTTGAGGCCTCAGATCATAGGCAAAAGCAACATGGAAAGCAAAGGACCCTGTAGGGTGACAATAGCATTGAGACACTTAAGAGGAGACACAAGTCCTTTCATTTGTGTACTAAGAAGATAACCCAAGAGATGAAAGGGAGGGTAGGGAAGGAATTGAAAAAAGAAATTAGTTGCCAAAAAGTACCAATAACAAATTGCACCAAAATGCAAAGCTATCTGCAGCAGCAGATTTTATTTTATCCTAAGGTAAGAATAAACAAAAGCATCTGTAATGAAATCATGTATAAATTTATATTTATTAACAAATTCATTTGCTAATAAAACACCATCTGCAAGGCACCCTGGGTTTCCGCTCAATTTGAATAGTCCTTTTACTGTTTTCAGATGCAGTTCCCAGAAAATTCTTCTCAACCCAAACTGCAGAACACATGAGCCTTGCTTTGGCTGCCTGAAATGTTAATACATTTGGTAACATGAAGGTTTTAAACAGATTATTTGTTTAAATGATATACTTGAATGCAAAGGGTGACATTTTGTAATAAGGTTGGTTAGACTTCTACTATCCTTACTATTAATACCGAAAGTCTAAGAAGCATGGAAATGTTTCACAGATAAGAAAAAAACTTATCCACTATAAACACAAGTATAGGCATTTAAACAAACATGGGCACATAAATACGGATGTGTATCACATTTCAATTAGAGTTTGTAATATTTCAATTCACAAGTTTAATACTATCGGTCAATCTATGTATCCTAGAATATCTGTGGTGTGGTCATTCAGCTCCCTCGGCTCCCTCCCATCCCAAATGCACTTCACTAGCACAACCCGTCAACCTCTTGTCACCAGAGTCAGGGGAAGAGTTGAGAATACTCAGAGAAATGTATTATTCCTTTCTGTAATAACTCAAAATAATGCTACCACACAGCAAAGATGGCCACAATGAGTAGGGATACAGAACCCAGTGCCTGGAAATTTTGGCACCAGGAACTGGGGCAGGACCCTAACGCTAAGTGCTTTTGAAAAGTGCATCAAGATTTAATAGGGCGAATTTTCAGACTTGGTCACATTTTTAGCCACATAAACTCCATTAGGTTCAAAGCTCCATAATGCTCTACCCTGTCTACATTTATTCCCATATTTGAATCTTCATTCTTCTAAGCTGTCTGTGGGGCCCTCTAACCTCTCCTTTTCTTTCTTCCTACTTTTGGTTTTCACATTGCCCCTGCATTCTGTATATTCTTCTGGGTTTAGTGCCCTACGCTTCTCTCTGCTCCTCTTTAAAATCCTTTCTTGAGACATGTATTTTAAAATAAATACTCTCTCCACTGATCCCCTATCATGACTCTCTTACACCTGACCCACTTTTCATACAAAGCTCTATCAAAGTCTATTTGCACCATCACTAAAGGCTGCTCCTGGGAGAATCGTCTGCAGAGTTGATGACAGCTCAGACTCTGTTTGAAAGTGTACCTCTCATTGGTGTGCCAGAGCACTGAGTGGAAGAGCGAAGTCAGTTCTGAATCTGGGTCAGCCCATTTGTGAATGTACAGGAGAGAGGATTGCAATGGAATGGATCCCACTGGGTCTGCGACCTGTCACTCCACTAATGAGGTATGGAAATGGGCTATCAGACTGCTGCATGGAGCAGTGCTATTTCCGGCAGTCCTGAATGATGGCAGTGCTACGTAAGGAGGGAAAAGCGGATGCCAGGAGAAAGAAAGGGATAAGCATCACACCCCAATCTTCCATTGTAGTCCTCTTTCAAAGGAGATCCTTGGTTTAAAAAAGAACAAAACAGTATTGTGTCACTCAGTAGACGTTAGACTAGAATTTCTCAATAACTATACAATAGAGCACACAAGCAGACAGACTACAATTAAAGAATATATAGCTGAGGTTGGATTCTGTATTCATTTCTATCTTTGTTTATGTTATTTGGTTCACATTATGGCTTAGAAAATGTAATCAAGTAACCATCCTTGAAGTCCATTCATTCATTTATTGAATATCTGCTATGTGCCAGGCATTTGCTAAGCACTTGGAATACAGAAAGAATGAGATAGTCCTTGCCCTCAAGGAGCTCACAGTCTAGTAGAGGAGACAGACACACAAAGTAGTATCTACAATCCAGAGAAGTAAGCGTCAGGCAGGGCGTGTGTAATAAGGTGCCAAAGGAACCCAGAGGAAGCACTGTCATTGAACTAGGAGGATCAGGGAGACTTTCGCAGAGAAGATGACCACTGAGCAGACTTGAAGGAGAAACAGGAATCCACTGGGAAGACAGGGGAGGGTGGGGAAAGGCTCTCGGCTGAGGAGACAGCAGGCAGAAAAGCAAGGAAGCGCAACAGAGCATGACATGACAGGGAACCATGGGTGGTTCCACGTGGCTGGTGTCACATTGGCAGATGGGAAATGGTGAAATTCGAGGCCACAGAGGGAGGATGGAAGCATAGGGAAGAGCCTTGTGAACGGGAGGCAGAAAGTTGGACAAAGAAATGAGAGTGAGGAGTGACATGGCCAGATCCACCTATGAGATCAGCCCTTACGGAGGATGGTGGGAACAGAGATGAGACTAGAAGGAGGGCGACCAGTTAGGAGGTGCTGGCAGAGGGTCTGAAAACAGTGAGGGTGGAGGAGAGGTGAGAGACTGGAGCGATACTTAGGGGGAAGCTCGACAAGACTTGATGGATGATGACACAAAAGGCCAACTCGCCTCAGAAATGAAAGTTATTAAAAACAGACATCCCCCGCATCCAACCCCAACAGCCCCACGCCTCCCCTCCTTTGCATTCCCAGTGTCCACACCTGCTGAGGAGGCACAGAGGAAGATGAGCGAGAGGGCTCCCAGGGGCAGACTCCTCTACTTCACACACCGCTACCTTGGAGTCTCCTACGGGGTACAAATTGTAACCTACTTTCTTCCTCTGCGTCTTTTCAAGCCTTTAGTGACCACTAAGAAGAATCCATTCTAAAGGCAGTAGCTTCTTCCAATCAAGTGCTGGAGGCGCAGTAGGCAGCTGCTTACATGGTGGTGTCTCAGGGGCAGCCCCGTTTATGTCCCCCACCCAGGGGCCACAGTGCCTGGAATCCAATCATTAGCGATTCACTCCTTTGAGAGGCTTTTGTTCCCTCTGGACTTCTCTTTTACAAGGCAATAACTCCTGAGACGGGTAGGATATTTAGCCACTCTAAGCTCAGTGGAATTCTGTTGCTCATAATACCTTCTGCTTGGACAGAAGGGATAGAGGTAGGATGTTTAAGCGGGCTATGTAGGCACCTGTGGAAGAAGGTGATGCAGGAGAAGGACTGAGGGCTATGCAAAGCGATGTTAAGATCGTTCCTAGAAACAGCCCTGTAAGCACTGAGGAAACTAAAATTCTCAAAGAATGCCTTCCACTTCAGGTTCCAGAAAAATCACACACTTGTACATTCTCGCACCTTAAGGGACTTCTGGGTTTTACGTTTACAATATGCTATTGGTTAGTGAAGACCTATACGAAGTAATTCACCAATGTTTCGTGAACCTTATACTACTCTGGACCAATTAAAATCTCCAGGGTCATTAATTTGTATGTAATGCTACTTCAAATATATTTTCTGAAACTCTTTTATAACTTCACGGTTTCATTCACTCAGCCCAACATGTCGTTTGTCATTCCGAATCATGGAGAGGAAACTGTGTTTGCAGTGTTAATCAGTCACGTCACAAGTGACAGAAGATCAAGAATCAGACTCTGACCTTGAAGAGTCTCACATACAGCTCAATAAAATAAATAAGAGCTGTCTGTGAATACTTGGTAGTAGAGGTTAGAAAAGCGAACTAAACAATGAAACAAAACTTTAAATGTTACTTACTTCACTTGTTTGGAGGATCGTGAACTTTGGCAGTTTAGTCTTTGAACTGGCTGCACTGGGCTTTCCATCCAACAGTGATCCGAATGACAGATTCCCAAAGCTGCTCTCGAATTCAATGGAAGGTTTCAGTGTTGGAGAGATGTCTGGCGCCTGGTCCTGGCCATCCATGGGTCTTACATATGCCGTTGGCTTTTGCTGCCCCATGTTTGTCTTGCAGTAAAGCCCTGGAGGGAAGTTCTGAACCGCAAGGCCACTGCTAGGAGCTAACAAAGAGGAAGCAACTAGGGGAGACCCAGGTGCTTGCACTGTAAATTCAGATTCTGCTGGTGAGTTGGACTGAAAGATTTCTTTGAAAGCATCTTCTCCACCAGCCTTGGGATTACTGTCTCCCTTTGAAGATGGGTTGGACTCTTCAGCTGTGCCAATTTGGGGCTGTTCAGCTGGGTAGACAAAGAAGTCTTCCAGTCTGGCTTGAGGCTGGTCCTGCGTGAAAGACTGCATCTTGTTTGGCTGACTGCTGGCCTGGCTTGCCAGTGCAGTGCTAGAGTTATGACTATCTCGTGACCACTCAGGTTTTGATTTTCTGTTGCTGTGTATGAGTGTGGAATTCAGTATCACAACAGACGGCGGAGGCATTGGGGCCGAAGGGTGAGTATTATCCTGGTGAGGTGGGATCATCCGGTTCTTTTGTTCTGGAAAAAAGCTTGGTTCATTTTTGTTGACGGGAGTCTGGGGCACAGAATTCTTTGGGATTCCCACTAGATGATTCTGATTAGAATGGTTAGTTAGCAAATCCTTCATTTCATCATAGTTTCCAAGCGTGTTCTGGACTCGGTTGGCAAGGGCATCACCTTTGTTTGTCTAAAATAACAAAAAGATGGGGGTGGGAGGAGAGAGAATGAATAGGTTTGTGTTTCCTAATGTTAATGTATCAAACAGATGCCTTAAGTAGACTAGCAGATAGGGTTCTTTAAAATTGTCATGCCGCCATATAATTTTATACTTTTCATGTGCTATGTAAGAGAAATATCAATAATGCTACTGAAAGAGCCTCCTGGAATGAGTGTGTATGATTAACAGTTGGTGTGCTTCCCAGCCTGCTCTTAAACATGATCAATGGGAGAAAGTTTTTAAATTATATAATTTATTATTTGTATCAGAAAAACCCTTATTTTAGGTCATATGAGCTGAATTTTTACATTACACATTATGCAAATTTACATTATGATTAACAACTTCCATTTAGTGATCACTGCCAATATAATGGAATGTTCCACTGACATATTTTTGACACATCAGCCTTTGTATCACATTATACCATGAAAAGGGCTTAGGTCATTTGGTGAGAAACTCAGTTATACTGTGCTATCCTGACCATGTGAAATTTAGCAAAGGTATGGGATTAAAATGCCATCTAATTGAGTTAACTTATGACTAAAATGAATCTAATTCCTTTTCAGCAAAGAACTGCATAAGTTACTGGTGTCTGCCTACATAATGTGGGGGCAACTGTGTTTACATGTGGATGATTCATAGTCGTTTACTTTGAAATGATGCAATTGTTGATCAACAGTGACTCAAGCTCTCTTGTGTCTTTTCAGTGATTTAGAAAAATTCATTCCAAAATTTAAAGTTGTTTAAGTCAATCAAAACAAACTAATCTTTTAAAAGTAATGTTAGCTTAATGTGTAGGAACTACAGAGGCAATCAAATCAATCTACGGACAATCAAAAGACCAGCTCACCACCTCCAGTAGGATATACTAATCTCATAAAATGGCTGTGATTGTTTTTAAAATAATTAAGCTCCTAAATAGGTTTTTGCAATAAAGAAAGCAAAGCTTTTACGATTAAAAAATAGTGGGTAGCTTTATCTTGGAAATGATTTTGAGTAAAACTCAAGTTGTTCATCCTTGAAAATCGCTTTTCATTGTATTCTTTACATGCCAAAGAGGTTATGAAAACAAGCTATTGAATTCCGAAGGGCAAAGGACTTCTTTGTGCCTAAGCTGCACTAATCTGGCCCAAAATGTTGCAGTCAAAGGAGGCTACCATTGTTCATGGAGCCATCTAGCAATCGGGCCATTCGATAGGGAAGGCATCACTGGGGGTGTCCTTCAGATCCCAGGAGCCTTAGGAGAGGGTGACCACCTCTCCGTTGGTAGACTTTCCACTAAAGATAGATGTTTAACATCTAAAGTATGTCATATGCCTTCAAAAGTGCCCAGTTTCCTGTTATACTCAAGGAGTACACCTACCCAAGTCTGGGATCTCAGTCTAACCCTACACTGTATGACTGTGTGTTGTTCTCTGTATGTGAAGATGAAAGAATATGCAGATGGATGGAGAGTGACATGCTAGAAATGGATGAAATCACCCAGGAAAAGGAAATGTAGAATGAAAAGATCAACCAGGCTCAGGTGCCAACCCTGGGAAACATCAACCTTGAAGAGTTTGGAGGAAGAAGAGGACCCAGCAAAGGATACCAAGAAGGAACAATCACAGAAAGAAGCAAACTAGCAACCTTGGCCTCATTATTAGCGCCATCTACATGTACCATAGGAAGTATTTCACTCACACCACATATTAAATCATATAAGACACTTCCAAAGAAATGAAGGCAGTTAGAGATATATGAATTTCAAAGATTAAGGAAAAAATATGCTAAATATATGCTAAGGGAGTTCTGTGGGGATAGTGATCTTTAGAAATCCAATAAATACATGTTGATCTTAGTTTTCTTATCCTCAAGAACATCTTGTATTGCATCATATGCCACCTTGGTGCTGAAGCAGTGATTAAACAATTACCATTCTATATAATCCTCTGCTGAATAATCTCTCCATTTTCAAAAGTACATTTGAAAAGCATATTTAAAAGACATAGATAGGTAGAAATCACTTTTATTCCCTAAATTTCCCTAAGATTGTCATTTTTAATGGCAGACATTACTTTTTAGCAAAGGCAAGAATAAATTCTTTGCATATAGTAGTCTCCTTAAACTGAGTTGCACAATGAACTATTTAGGCAGCGGTCAAAGCCAGTCTTTCTCTCTAGTCAATCCCTAAATATAAAACAAAGAAATGTCATCATGCCAAGGGCCCAGAAAGTACTCAGTGATGCAAGCTTTAAACATCTGCAGGGGTTTTCTGGCCGCTGTAACAGATTGCCTCTTGGGCCAGATAACTGTATGGCTAACCAACACTGATACCTGGCAATATTCAAGGATCTGATACTACCAGGGAAAACAACACTACGGAATCATACCCTTGTCCCTAGGCATTACAGAGACCACTGAAAACTGCATGGCCCAGAGCAGTCAACCAGACTCTCCTGGACAACATCGGCAGGGTCTAATAGCCTCACTATGCTTGTGAGAAGGCTAGTCACATACCTGCTCTTGTTTCAGTAGTAAACAGAAGAAATGTTCATCTTGTCCTCGATGAGAAAAAGTCTGTCTAGTTTTTATGTCTCTTAACTTGTGTTTATGGTTATAATGATCTGGGTTTTTGAGGCATGCTTACATATGTTTTTCACATGTAGGTTTTAAAGTATGCTTTAAATTAGCAGAACTTCTGAACTGGTCAATATCTAAAATTGTGTCCAAATAAATATAATTAAGGCAGAAAATAAAAGTCTGTCTGAATATGTCTAGAAAATTAATCTCCTCTTAACTATCTACACATTAACAATTTTCATTAATTAAATATAATTATGTATATGTAGATACACACACACATATATATTATATATA